GGAACGATTGAGTGTTAATTAATTCCTAGATTTTATTATAATTTTTTTAAAATTTTGTGAATCGAATATAATGAGAGTAATAAATTTCGTAACATATAGCAAAGGGTATACGGTAGAGTAATTGAAAGAAGTTGACAAACTCAATTATATTGCACAAGTCCAAGCGAAGTTCCTAATATTCACCATAATGCATTTTGACGATGCAAAGAGTGGAGATTCAACTCCCAACCTCGCTTGACTTCCATCAATTACATGATTCATAATTTTTTTTATATTATAAATTTTTTTTAGTAAAGATGGTGATGCAAGTTGTTTGAAGAGACTTAATTTATACATTATCTATTTTATAATTAATTGATTAAGAAACGAAATGTTAAGGATCCATGATTCATAGAAGTTTTAGGTCATGCATGAGTTGGGTCTCCAAATTTCATCAGAATTGGTAAGTATTTGTCTCCGAGCTCAAAAAAACACTTACAAAAAATATTTACATATTATTTATCAATATAATTTTTAAATTAATAGTAAAATTTGAATTCACAATCTTATAAATTATGAAAATCAAATCCTCACTAGCTAGATTAACTTTTTTTGGCTATTAGTGATTAAATTACATAGTTTTAAGTGCTATTGAAAAGATATTCTTTAAAATAGAACTTTAGAAAGATATTGAAAAAAAAAAGGCATTAGTCTTAGTAGAAGAGATTATATCAACTTAAATACAAGGTATCGAGTTCAATTTAATGTGAAAGCAAAAAACGTCTTCAAAGAGCTATCCCTAATTGGGCTAGATAATACTCAAATCTAATCTAGTTAGATAGCCCAAAAAATAAAAGTTCAAACATATATAACACTAATCGACGAGGTGTGATTAGATAAAAGGGTTAGTTCAATCCTCATATATAATGTGGTGAACCAAGATTTAAATCCTTACTTAGAGAGCTGTGTATTTAATGCTCGATTAGTCATGTTTCGAATATGATTATTTCTAATAAGAGAATACCTATGAATAATAAAAACAAAAAAAAAAAACGTACAAGGATACAGCATAATCAACAGTAATTATGCAAAGAGTAAAGTTCAACGCAGTGTGTGTGTATAAATAGTTTCCATATCCCCCATTCTTGATGCGTCTCTCAAACTATTCCAATTTGGGCACTTTGCAGAAGAAAATGTCATCTTATAAGCTAACAGCCTCTCTTATCTTCTTCCTCTTTCTCTTGAGCCATACACTCGCAATCCGACCTATTATAATTCCTTCTCCTTCTTCTTTCTCTGTTACTCCAAATGATCAGGTAAGTTACTTTTATACATACAATCATAGAGACGCGTTATTAACTTTGATTTTCTGATCTTTTTATTCGAATGAAAATTGTTGAGCTGATATATATCACCATGAATTTGACGTCCTGGAGGTTTTGGAGGTGGAGAGGGTCAACAATGCTGCAGAGGAAAGTTGTCAAGGAAGTGGAGAAGAAGAATGTTTGATGAGAAGAACACTTGCAGCTCACTTAGACTACATCTACACTCAGAATCAAAATCCATGAGATCCTCATCAAATCATTCTCCCATATGTTAAAACTGTGCTATATACATATATTAGGGAATACTTAATGATAAACATCATCATCAGGAAAAAAAAAAAATTTGGTCCTCTTAATTCGTTATCGTCTAAGTCAATTTATATTGTTCTCATATATATTCAAATGTATGATTGTATGAATACCAGTTAAGTGGTTTTTCTCAAGTTCTTCAATTCTTGCTCAGATGCCCTGGCCCTCGTTTGCTCGATATATTTGTTCATATTAAACTTAATCTATTCAAATCTATAATTAATCAGACCCTGGAAAATTATCGAGCAAACTAGCTGAAAGAGTAAAAAACCTTTAATTTTTGTACAGTGATAATTTTAAGCTCTGTTATTTTTAAAGATTTTAATTGAATTGTCATATTCATATAAAATATAATAGAATGTGGAATGATGAAGACAAGCATATAAGCTGTAAAGTTTCCAATTTGTTTGGGAAAAAACCAACAAAATGGACCGAAAGTTACTTTAATTTCCAAAGTGAATAATAACTTGTGTGGGGGATCATGGACTACTTTAACTTTCTTAATGTACAATCAATCTTAAAGTTTGGTACAATTCAAATTTGATGAAATCTTTCCAGCCCGGCTATATAGTGTGTTGCTACCAAATATAATTTTCCACTGGCTATTTTATTTCATCAATTTGCTTAAATTAATGACAATGCTCAACACCACAAATGCAATAGAGTTAACTGGTGAGAATGGATTGAAGAAATAACAAAATATTTCATCAATAACTATTAGTTTAGAATTTGATTGGCATTGTCTCAGACACGTGTATGACACAGAAAAGAAAACAAAATTAATATATTTGTCAGCTCACACACACACACACACACAAACCATCCTCATTTTAGACCCACAAAAGAAATATTTAGAAGATTATAACCTCTTACTACATTAAACACAAAATAGAGCGGCAGGTATTTGAATAGGTTTTTTTTTTTTTTTTTTTTGTGCATGAAGCGTTCAATATTCTAGGTTTGCCTCACATCAAACTAAGAGGACTTAATAGGGATCCAGATTCATCTGGACCAAGATAAGATAGGATTAATGAAAGTTCTATCACCAACATTGTTACATTTTTAAAGCTTGAATTAGAGACATCTAATTAAATTAATATAATGTTATCAATTGAACTAAAACTATTGAATTTGGATGGATAATTTTAGCATGTTTGATTTTCATGTTAGAAATCATCACAACTATGGTTTTGATGAAAGTAAAGTAATTACTTATTTCCCATATGCTTTTAATTTATCAACAAGATAATAATTTTGATGATTTTTTACTTGAAACAAAAGATGCAAAAATGTAGACTATGTAGTTTGTGATAGACGTAGACAAACTGATTAATATAAGTTATATAAGTTTATGCAGTGAGTTAAAGTTTCTTACCATAAACACAGCAGCTAGCCTATGTGATAAAAAATACCTGTCCACAAAGTTCTAGAATACCACACCGTCTTCTTTTCCCCTCTCTTGCTTTTTATGGGATTTTTGTTTACTAAAAAAACTTGTATGTACTTGAATGCTGATGGTCTTGGACTAGTCAATGTACTGCTTTTTATTGTCGGGTTACAGATAATTAATTAATTAAGTTGGCCTACAACCATGATTGTGACGCCTTCGTAGTTGATCACCATTCATGGTGCTTGTCTCTTTTAACAATGATCAAACTTCCACTTTCTTTCTTGGTGGGTTGGTCAATAGAAAATTTTATAGCTTACTATGTCCGTTGAGGAGCAAAAGTTTAATATAACCGTAGGCCCTGTTTGGTTGGCAAGATTTTTATTAGTATAGAAATGTGAATGGGATGAGAATTATGCGTTCGGTTTGTATGAGAAGGAGGAGAATAAGAAAAATCACAAATCAATAAATTTCAGTTCGTTAAGAATGTAGGTGATTGCCCAAAAATGAGAGTAGAGAATAAATGAGCAAAATAAAAATAGAAGGACAGGTTATAAGTTAATTTCTTTATTTTTATATTAAATATTAAGTTCAACTTTATTTAATATGTACAAAATTTCTCACCTTAATTCAAATTTACTCACATTTGGATATCCTCAAAGCACATTCCATTGAAATTTATTGTTTTTATTACTCTGACACATACTTACATCTCACCCCCACCATTTAGATTCGCGGCATCAAAAATTTTCATTTCTAACTTTTTTCTATATATTTGTCATCTCCATTAATTAAAATATGTTCCAATAAGCAAACAGAACGGAAAGATTCCCTTACAACTTATAATGAAATAAACGTACATATTAAATGTTAAGATTAATCTTTTCTTTTTGGCCAGACATCCTCATTTTCATTGGCTTCTTAGATTTTTCCCGTGTGCAAAGAGGAAGTCAAAGAATATTTTTCCGTTGACATTGAGGTTGCAAGTGCCTTACGGAATGTTCTGCTTAATGTTGAAACCAACTATGAAGGTTTCTGACTTGACAACTTGGGATTAAATATGCTACTTAACCAAATCATTTCACTGCTAATCATATGCTTTGTATTTTAATTTTCCTTTCACTAGTCAGAACTTTTCTAAATTTCTGTGCATCTAATTTTCATTGCTGTTTGCTAAATTTATCATGAGAGAAAATCACCTTACTCACACTTGACAAAAGAACGAGCACTTATATAAAAATACAAAAAAAAAAAAAAAAAATTGAACAAGTTATACTATTTATAAATCATAAATAATATTTTTCATATTCCATATATTCTCTCTGGACCATAATATAAGTCATAAGTAAATAATTTACTATTGATAAATAATGTTAGTTAAAACCTTAAATTTTTTAAAAATCTTTGCAACTTTTCATTTATACCCTTATTCAATATGTTATATAAAAGCTTTGATAATAGTAATTAAAATTATAATGCATGATTTTCTTTCAAAAAGATTAATAATGAAATAAGGATATAATTAAAAAAATAAATATAAAAATTACTTTATACTCTATATTTTGAATCAGGCAAGACTTTTCATAGATATTTTATATTGTAGTTCAGAGAAAGTAATGCATAGTAGAAAGGGCTATAGTGGTTTAAGAATGAGATTTTAAATTCGAGCTTATATAAATGTACAAAATGTCTTCAAAAAATTATCTCTAATTAGATTCAATAATACTTGAATCAGATTACTATATCAAAATAATAATAATAATAATAGTACCACCTTTTACAAGAGTAATCATAGGCTCAATGCATAAAATAGGTCTGATTTTATCATATTTTGGGTTGGAGAAATTCATGCCCCAACAAGATTGTATTGTCAAAAAAGCCCTGAGGCCTGTTCTGGGCTGGATTTCACATGGGCCGAGAAATAAGCACGCCTGATTGGCGCCAAAATCTGAGCCTTGGCGCCCTAATAAGTAAATGACCTTTCAGTTCCATGTTTCGTCCCTCTCAGACCTAGAGAAAAGAGAATCTTGAATCAAAATTGGAGGAAACAGACACAATGGGGAACTCGAAACAGTACTTCCTTTTGAGGACGGAGCCATCAGAGTGGTCATGGGAGGACCAAGCCTCCAATAGAGGCATAACCAAGTGGGACGGCGTCAAGAACAAGCAAGCCCAGAAATACCTCAAGTCCATGACCCTACACGATCTCTGCTTCTTCTATCACTCCGGTGCCAAGGCCCGCCGCGTTGTCGGTGTCGTCACCGTCGTGCGTGAGTGGTACGTGGAGGGTGAAGACGGGGCCGTGGACGTGAAGGCGGTCGGGGAAATGAGGAGGCCGGTGGACTTGAAGGAGATGAAAGGGGACCGAGGGTTGAAGGACTTTGTACTGTTGAAGCAGCCTCGGCTCTCTGTTGTTCCAGTTTCTGAGGATGTCTGGAAAAGAATATGTGATTTGGGAGGCGGCTATGAAGGGGACGGCCAAGATGGAATCGACGGCGAGGAGGATGAAGAGGACGCTGAAGAAGAAGAATGATTGAGGTTCTAGGTGAACCGGTATGGTAGGTGTTTGTAAATATGCCTGCTTGATCTGTGTAGTTTAGACTCGTGCTTGGGGTTGGAGAAGTGTAAAATGGAGAAGAGGAGGGATCAAACTAATCTTTTTGTTTGGGTTGTGGGGGATGAAAGTTGAAATTGCTTGCTTGATGGATGGGTTCAACTAAATATGCCTCCTCACTGATCCCTAGTTTGGTTTTTTTGAGGAAAATGGAGTTCTTCAAGAACATCTGTTAATCACTCTAACGAATAGTTTTTGCTCTGGTTGGATTTGTTAGTTTCATTTCCTGCATTATTGGACTGATCCGTCAAGAACCAAGGAAGGTGTGAGCTTTCGTAATGTTTCATTCTGGGGTTAGGATTGGGTAGCAGGACTAGGACTAACTTAATTGGGTGTCGTGTGATGCATACTTGATTCTTTATAAACAACTCTAATGAGACGTTGATAAATTATTAATTTTATTTAAATGAAAAAAATCAAATTTATTATTAATATCCCATCAAATATTTTTATATTAAAGACTATAGTTTTTTTTTTAAAAAAAAGATACCTTCACAAGGATAGGAAAAAGTTTTTTTTTTTGGCCAATAATTGATATTATGAAATTATATCAGACCTTAATTGAACACTGCGAGGCTCGAGTTTTGACAATGCAAAGATGCTTGAAATTATCAGAGAGAAATTGACCAAAATCTCTATTATAAGTTTATCCTGAAACTGTCAGGTACAAGGTGAATTTCGAATTTCTGTATAACTTAATATTAATATTTATTACTACATACAAACGATAAAAAATTATATTTGTAATATTAAATGAACAAAAAATAAATTAAAGTTCTAATTTTTGTTAGTAGAGATACTCAAATATGATTGCTTTTAATATAAAAAAAATATCTCAAAATTGAAAACATAAATAAATAGTTAACTGTTTCATTTTTATACAAATGCTAATATGCCATCCTTTTGTTATATTTTTTTAAACTTTCATTTCTTCTTCTACGTTTGTCCAAATTTTTTTTTTTTTAAACCAACCTATGTTTGTCCAATTCTCTTATAGAGATTGTTATCCAACTCTTATTTACAGATGTTAGAGTTCCAATTGAATATATAAATTAAAAATATTTGTATCATATAAATATAAATTTGAATCTATTTCATTCTATTATAACTCATCTATCCAAATCTATTATGCTTTAGATTTAGTATTCTAAAGCATCCAGTCCCGCAATAGCAAAAAGGAACAAATTCAACAAGCATAGGTTTGACAAATTTTCTTGGACTTCCAATATATCATGGGAGAATGAATATTATATCAACAAAATAAATTGGGAAAATTAAGGAGAGAAATCTAATACTGTTGAACTTTATTATAAAAAATCATAAAAATTAAAATTAGGATGGAAGATCAAGGTAAGTGTAATTAACCGTTATAACCCTAGTATAAAAACTATCAATAATTTTTTAAAATTAGCATGGGGTACTGTATAAGTTACAAGAGTACTCTTTTTAAAATCAAATTGTGCGGTTTTCAATTCCACATATAAAAATAAAAAGTAGCATTAAATTTAATTAAATCAATATAATTTTAAAAGTTTTTACTTTTAAATAACTGAATCAATATAATTTAAAATCTTTACATTCAAAAAATTAAATAAATATAATTTAAAAAATTATACTTTTAAAGAATTATTATATTTTTCAAGAACATCTTGTCTCAATCTATGCCTTATGAATTTTTAAGGGAGAAGAGATTATTAATTTACTATGAATGTCTTGGTATTAGTTTCGCTTTGTTCTAGTTTATTATTTTTTCATTTTCTCATCACACACACACACACACACACACACACACACACACACACACACACACACACACACACAGAAATAGTTTTGTTCCCAAATGATGAGTTTTTGTTAGTAACTATTAAATACAACATGTATGAGATTTAATTAAGAGCAATTTAACATTTTAAGATTTATATTTTGATATTTGGTCTTTCTAAATAATTATTATTTTTAAAATCATTTATAATAACTATCATCTTCTTCATCTCCTTTGTTATAATTTTTCGAAATAAATCCAGTTTTTTTAAAAAGGGACGGATTTTACTTGCCGGGAGATCGGTCGATGATTATATCTCGTTCTGCATCCTCTCCCGTCGAAGGTGAAATTGTTGCAAATGCAAACCCTACCATATGCAAGACCTCGTTTTGCAGGAATTTGCAACGGCGCATGGCTTAGAACCTTGAGCGTCCGAGCATTCTCGTCATCTGACTATGGGGACCAGGCACGTGGAGGCCTACCGCGCTTCTTCTCCGAAGTTCTTCCTCCTTCCAAGGCAATTTCTCCCTCCTTCCTGTATTGCACTGCATTTTGTCTCACAATATCTGTTCCTGCTACTTTCCCGCTAAGTTATTGACTTGCTATGTTATGCCCGTTCTCTTGAATGCTTGGGGTTTATCCTGTCATAAACTCGATTCGTTTTAGTGCCTGGTGTTGTTCACTGAGGGGATTATAATTTTGCATTTTAGTCACTTCGTAGGATTTTCTTACTATCTAGTACTTTGAGTCATGGGTCACTATTTTTAGCGTCTAATGTTTCATAGAATTTCAGATGACAATATTTCTTGCATTCTTCTCTTTTGGGATATGGAAAGTTCTTGATTCGAATGTAAAGTTAGCATTTTTATGGCGTTTGACAAATTATTTTCGTTTATAAAAAATCATTGTGGCTAATCTGACGTATATATAAAATTGTAAATGATATCTTTGTTTCTAATAATGCAGGGTAACAATGTGCGCGTGCAAGGTGATGAATTCTGGCACATGACAAAAGTTTTAAGATTAAGCGCCAATGACAGGTAATTTTTAACGATCTTCATTCGTGAATAGTAGGATTTCTTGATTTATGCCAATTAGTCTTGAGCCTGAAATATGGTTTGGTTCTGTCGAGTTGAATGATCTAGTATAGACGTCAAAATTTTGAGCAAATCCAGTGAATTGTGGTAAAATTAACTGTAGAACATTTTCTATCTGTAAAATAATTGGTAAAATAGGGGGGTTTTGTTTTGGCTTTGTATGCCAATTATTTTAAAATAACTTGACAGATAGAAAATTAGTTTGGTGAAATTAACAAGATTTTCTTTGGCTGTGTATCCCAATTATTTTTGGTTGACTAAATCACTTTGGTCAAGATTGTGGCATTGCTACCTTGGCCCACATTTATTTCTTTGTTTGTGATTCATTGAAAGAAATGCAGAGTGTGTTCTTTCTCATCGTTTTGTATCTGGGTATGAATGCTTATCTCTAGCACTTACTGTGATCTGGAGAAAATTTTCTTGATGATCAATATCATACTGCGCAAGGGTAGAGCTCTTTAATGGGAAAGGGAGTTTAGTAGAAGGGTGCATACAGAACATTGATCGTACAGGACTTGATTTTGTTGCTTTGAACGATCCAAAGTTAATACCTCCACAGAACACTCAATGGCATGTGTTTGCAGGCTTTGGTAAGTTTTTATATGCTTGTGGCACTGTATTTGAAGACTAGTATGTTTCAATCCGTTCTCACCTTTTGAGGTCCAACCCCTGTTTAGGTACTCTGAAAGGTGGTCGGGCTGACTGGCTTGTAGAGAAGTGTACAGTATGTTTTAGTATCATATTGAGATGTTATTTGGTTAGATTTATAATATTTCTGTTATGGTGTTTTCTTTGATTCATAGTTTTAACTGCCATATAGGAACTTGGAGCCAGTAGCGTAACTCCTCTCTTGACTGAACGCTGTCAGTCAATATCAGAAAATCGGGTAGACAGATTGGAACGTGTCATTTTAGCAGCATCTAAACAATGTAACTACATTTTTTACTTGCATCTGAGATTGAAACACATATAACTTGTATGCTTGTGGTTCACTAAATTTTTTTTGGCTTCATTTGGTTGGAGAGAGTTTCATCTAGAGAAAAGAATGGAATAAAGATTCTGACACCCAACATGCTCAGTTCATTCTTTTGTTATCCCATTCCATATCAATTGCATTCTTTATTCCAGCTTCAGAGGGAATACTCAGTCTAATAAGGGTTCATTTGATTTGCGGAACATTTTCATTCACATTCGTGTCTTTTTGCTTAGGTCAAAGGCTGCATGAAATGATCATGAAACCTCCAATAAAGATTGATGAACTTTTGCATCTTGTAAGTTCTGCGTCTCTTTTTAATAGCAAGGACTTGCAGTCTTTCAAGTTCTTTGAAGAGAATTTGATCCACTGTTATGGTAACCTCCATCTTATTACTCTGTGCTAGAATTATAGACAGTGGATGCATTGTTGCATACTCTATTTGCCCTTTATACTTGGGTATTCTGATCCTTAAATAATGGATCTGATTCCATTGTGTTGTTTGTAGTCTGGGGCTACATATTGACATTTATGTCAGAATCTAATGGGATTTGAACTCATTTTCTAATCTCTCAATAACTGGATCAACCTATTTGTTGTCCCTTAGATTGCTCGCTCCAAGCTCTCTCTCCTTGCAGCAGCCAAGGCTGCTCCTGTTCTTGGTGCATTGACATCTTCGCCCCAGGAAACTGGTGGCTTGATCATAATTGGACCAGAAGGAGGTTAGTTGTGTTCAGTCCGTTTATTTGGTTTTATACTTTTACTACATTTCTGAGCATCAAAGGGCATTTTAATTGATTATATATCTAGTAAGTTCAGGATAGTTATTTGGTGAATTTCCACTCGCTCTTATATTACAAATGGTAAGATAATTGAAAGCATAGCAATAATTTTTATGGGATGAACTTTAGCCCCAGGTCATGACTGGCCTGTGCCTTTGGCTTGGGGGCTTCTGATCACCAGACTAAATTGCGAATCTTTGATACCTATGATCTATTACCAGTTAGAGAAGGATAATTAAATGAAATTGATGATGTTTTGTTTTTGCTATGGATTACTCTAGACTTCACAGAGAAGGAAGTCAATATGATGATAGAAGTGGGTGCTACTGCTGTTGGTCTAGGGCCACATCGACTACGGGTTGAAACTGCAACAATAGCACTTTTGGCCACTGTCATGTTATGGTCTGACTCACGGCAAAATTCTGTCGTTTGACTCATCATCACAGGTACCTCTCATACATACTTTTCTAGATACAAACATACAGCTATGACTGTCCCTGTCTTTAATTGATATGTTTAATTTTCAAACAAAAGTGCTCATGTTGGTTGAAGATAAAATCATGTCTAAGTAGATGAAACACAAATAAGTGCTCAAAAGTTAATGGAGACCGTTGCCCTCTATCACTGGGTGGACTCACTGAAGGTCTATGCTGAAACAGTCCGTCAATGAGATCCCAAATTCACGAACATCAAGATACAGACCAATTGGAGAATTGTTTGCGTAATCTATTTTTTTAGTCCTGTTCAACCCTATCTGATCTAGTTGATGACATCACGATAATTTATATCCTGCCCTAGTGTAAAGGAGATGCATCCATCCACCTAATTGTTCTACTGTTATGGAGTATTTGGTTCTGAATTAAATTAGGACTTTTCAACGTGGAACCCACATCAATATGGTTGCAAATGGAAGGAAATGAAATATGTAATTTTGCAAATGAGAAATATTGTGTTACTGTTAAGAAATGTTAATATGGGTATGATAGATATTGTATATCTAAATTTGTGTGCCAAAGGAAAAAAATAACTTTCTCGGGTAATCATGCAGGACATAAGTTATTTGAACACCTCTTGCGAAAGAATCATATCATTCATGCTGCCGAAGTCTTGCTAATTGGTATCCTAGTAACATGGAAGCATGAAAAGTAGGAGAAATTCGTAGGTAAAAATAATGCATAAACATCTTATGTCAAACAAAACGTATTCCTGATTATCTAATTAGTTTGCTCACCTTTCGTAAACCAGGGTTTACATAAGATAATTTTTTAAAAAGAAAAACTTGAGAGGATTTTGAATGTTGATAAGATTACGAAAATGATAAAATAGATTATTGCCTTTGAACGGAATGGAAACAATGGTTATAGAAAACATGTATATGTTAGATGCAGTTATCATCTGAGGCGATTCTTATTTGAATGATGAAATTTATGGCATCTACTGTCTTGTCCTTGTTCTGCCCTCAGATTTTGAAAAATAGATAGCGTCCGTACTAGTTTATAGACAGAGCAACACAAGATTGCTGGTTGGGGTACCCTGGATCTCAAGGTGTGTTATCTCGCAGATATTTGCTGAAGCTCTCCTGTCCTGGCTTGATGTCGTGAGTTGAATTCAAGCTCTCTCTTCTTTGAAATCTCTTCAATGGCTATGAGAAAGATCAAGTCAATCTTTGCACATGTTGCTTTGCCTGAGAACACCATTGTGCAGCCAATTTATGTGTACTTTTCAGATTCATGTGCTTTGTTCTGCTTAGATAACAGTTATCACATGGGATGTCTTGTATTTGCCTCCATGTTTGTCCTCTTACCATATAGGTGACGAAATTGAAATTTTTGATGAAGATGGGATATGCTACTTGCACGTGGATTTTAGAATATATTGAAGATCAGTCCTCTAAATTCTCAGACTTTTCCTTTTCAAATAGTAAAAAGAAAAAGTTTAGGTAAGTTGGGGTTTAAAAATTCATCGGCTAGGATAGCAAGATCTAAATCTAGATCTTTGTGAAGTATAAATCGCGATTTTACAATTTAAATTGTCAATTAATTCATCAGCTAGGTGTTAGTGTTGTTTTTGATAAATATTTCCAATTATGTAAAGTCTTATAGGGGGTTTAACAATAGTTTAAAAAAAAAATTGAAAGAAACCTAAGACTTAAAAATTTGAATCATTTATTTTTGGGACAACAATCATCTGAATTAATTTTGAACCGTGCGAATAGTGTTAGTGCTTTTCTAATTCTAATTAGTATTAATAAATTTATGTAAATGAATTTTCCAATATCATCAATATGAAATGTGAATTATACAGGTCAAACTATTCATAAATTATATTATAACTCCTTTTCACTGGGGAATCTGTAATATCAGTATATATAATATAACTCGTCTTATGTTTTTATATTTTAATCACGTTTCATTCATCTCACTGAGCTCGGTGCAAATGTTTTATTTTCAATCTTTTTCTACACATTTGAATGTGATTTAAATATTAGAAAAAAAGTAATATTGCAAAAACTTCAAAACTTGTAATGCAGGGAATAAAAAAAAACAGACATGATTATTTATTTTGAAAATTGAAGGGATGTCCGTAAATAAATATATGAAGTCATGGGGAGCTTTTTCCCCCTGTTATGATCTCAATTCCTGTTTTTGTTTTTGTTTCAGGCCAACACACAAGGATGGTGTTTACTGGGGAAGGTTTCTTTGTCCATTATAATTAAGTTGCAATCAATGACGCAGAAATCAAAGAGAATTCCACTATTAATGTTAATAGATAGTGATTTCCGGCAATATTAGTGATGAACACAGCATCGTTATTTGTTCTTAATTGTAGCGTTAATACGGACAACTATGATTAACGTGAATAGCAGGAACTCATAGGTGGTCTCCCAAAGGACTACACTCATTTAAGTACCAATGCGCCAAATGACAGAAAAAAAAAATCATCTCTCCGATTTTATTTTAAAATCATTTTTAACATATTTTATTAAAATTAAAAAATATTAAAATTTATTAACTTGATTTAAAATTATAATAAGTTTTTAACTTTGTCTTTATTAGATGTACACATTTTAATAATATTTTTTCTCAACATTTAATACATAATAAAATAATCAATTCAGAATAAAAATTTAATAATATAGCATAAATTTGACACAAAAATCCTCTCTTCACTTCTAATAGGAGCAGAGGGATTCAAGGGAGTACTTGTGATCATGTATTTTACTAAATAAAACTAATAATGTCTTTTTTTTTTTTCAAGTTTTTACCATTGTGCATTGTAAAGTTAACTTCTTTGGAAAAAGGTTGCTAATGTAAAATTATTTTTCTTTTATTTCATCGCTTGGCAGTAAGTTTATTTAAACTTTCTCTCGATTAATTGAATCAAACATCCCTTGGTTAATGTATAATTATACAATAATATTCAAAGAGTAAGAAAAATACCATTTGAATTTTGAGTATTATCAATGTGGATCAAAGAATACGACACTAGAGGTGGTGTTAGAATCTTTCAATTTTTGTGTTGATTTATTTATTGGACTGCCGACATTTAGAGGAATAAAACAAGGAAAAGTCAGTGGAAGAGAATCGTACCAGAGATACACCGCTTTGTTAGTTCTCAATTCCATGAATGTGACAAATGTGGTCATTTTATAATTAAGATGAGTCAGATGACATACAAGTCAACATTTTCTTACCCACCAAATCTATTATTTCATGTTTAATGAGCACCAAAGTTTTTTTAATAGATAGATACATCATACATCTGAATTTCCTATTTATCTTTTCAGGCATCAGGAATATTTTCTGTACATAGTAAAGACTAATTTTCTCTTTCATAAAAAAACCTAATTTCTCTTAAAAAAACAGAAAACAAATAATATAATCATAGTTGGCTAAAAAAAAGAATGTAGACTTATATAGATCCATTCTAATAGGATTTTTTATCCCATGTCCCAACCAACTACTTATTTAAGAAATAAAAGCGTCTACTAATTTAATCAAATCAAGAGAAGTGAATTTTAATTATTTATTACATAAAAAATAATTTTTCTTTCTATTCTTATCCTCAATTAAATGATACGGGAAAAAGTTCATTTTTAAATTCTACACCCTATCATCAAGGGATGGGATAAATAATTTAGATTTTCTATAAGGGATATTTTTGAAAACATATACTCATCCAGTTTTTTTTATAAATCATTTCTACCAATCTTATCAATATCAATATATAAAAGATCAAAAGAATAAAAATATATAAAATTTTAAATATGCCTCTATATAATAAATCTAAAAAGTAATTTTATATAATTTTTTCTCTTTTATGAAAGGTAATTTTAAAAATATCATTCAAATATTATTTAAAAAACTGCACCATAACTCATAAATGAGATTCAATAAACTTTTTAGAATAAACCTTGTAAATGGTACTGGAAAAAGTATTGATTTACATCTAAAAACCTGTATTAGGACTTACATTTAAGTAAAAATAAAAAATAAAAGGGCCGAGAATTGAAACCTATATTAAAGCGACAAATAAAGTATATCATTTGAGATGCTACAATAACTCAATTAGAACATTTGACAAAATTCAACACAACATACTCTCGCACTTTTGATTAGTTAAAAATAGCATGAATTAATATTTATTTGAATTGAATGATTGTTATCTTAAACGTGACTCCTCGGAATTAATAATAATCAAAGTATTTGAAGAAATTATCAAGTACTTTAACAACACCACATCATCTATAGTTCTAAACTTTAAGATACAAATCTGACATGGATCCCACATGTTTAAACTTGCACAACTCGTTACGTATATTTCGTATCGTATAATAATCTTTACGAAAACAGATTGTGTGATATTCATTGAGCACCTGATAATTTCTCATGTCTTTGGCAGACATATCACGGTGAACTCAAATACTAATTGCCTGATTGCTTCACATTTCTGCTTCCTTGTTAATTCATAATTCAATAAAAAAAAATTCCTTCTTTGACTAATCTTCTATTCTTTTATTAATTTTTGCTCAATGATATTAAATAGGAAAACGTTTTCTTCAATTTTGTAATTGAATTAAACTTGTTCTTTTTCTTCTTGTTTTTTTTTTAGTCAAATGCATTGGTGATGACTGTTTCTTATGTTATATCTTAATTTTATATCAAGATACTTACCAAAAAAAGAAAAAGAAACATTTGCGTGATTAATTTGTTAACCTTAATAATCTTTTATTAGAAACCTGAATCTACATCCGCCTATATATTATTGGCATGCATGCTTTGATGTTATGATCAACTGGCATGTACATAGATTCAATATCATTAATATGTAAATTTATAGTTGATAACCCAATTTATCTCTTAATCAGACCTTGCCAATGCATTTAGATGCCATGCTCCAAACGAGTTAAAAAGAGGTAAAATCATATTCCTTATTTTACTTGTAATCACAACATCAATATTTCAGTTTTAATTAATCAGCAGATATTAAATAATCAACAATCCATTTTCTATTTATGTGAAATAAATATAATTTTTAACAATTATTTATACTCACCTCATTCGTTTCAAGTATTATCAAATTTAAAATGAGTGCCCTATATACAAGCTCCAGTCGCATGCCTTAACCATTAAGGTAATTTTCTGAGATCCAATCATCTAAGTTTTAATCATTTTTTATACATGTCAGGGGCTCAAGCACAAATTAAATTCATCATTTTTTAATTCCTGACATATATATTTTATTAGAGATAATCCTGATCGAAACACCATTGGACATTAAATTTGAACATATTTCTCTATATAAATTTAAACCTTGATGTGTCAAGTTTTAAGACACTAGCTCCTAGTTTTTGCATTTCAATTACCAACATCTAAAATCTACTGGGTATCGTAAATGCCCATAAAATATTTTTTAAAAAAAATCATAAAATCGAAAGATTATAATATAATCAAACAAGAGGTATTACTTATTCTGTTAAAAATATAATGTAGGATGTTCCTATCGATATCAATGGATATAGGCTTATAGCCTCATACGATGTAACGTCAAGCAATTCTTTCTTTCTCTTTCTTTCTTTCTTTCTTTTTGGATCACATTGCAAGTAATCAGGGATTATGTTTTAGTTTTTTTTTTTTTGGCCGACCATCTAGTTTGAGTAATTTCTCACACTATTAAAAATAAAAAAACTTTTCACATTTTTATACAATTAACTCAAGCACACGTCTGTACAAATATATCAATATTGAAGTCGAACCCGAGATCTATTTTAAGAGAAGAGGTAGCATGGCAATTATAATAGCTTGCCATTGAGTTTTATATTTATTGAATATATTATATATGTAAAAAAATTGAAAATATAATTTTGTGTAAAATGTTTTATTTAATTCAAAAGTTGTTGGTTACAACTCACTCCTTCTGTTTAATATTATAAGACATTTTTTCAAGTATCATGTTAAAATATACAAGATATTTTGTGACTTTAAAAATATTACCTTTATTTTAAATTATAAGATACTTTAATAAAAATAAAATTTTATTATTGATATTTTTTAATATTATCTTTTTCATTATATTTTTCATCTTTAATATTCTTTCATAAAATAAAGTATTAAATAATGAGTAATTTTAAAATTTTACATTTTTATCTTGAAAGAAATAAAATTATAAAATATATTTAATATATTTTATTGACAGGTATGATTTGTCAAAAATATCTTATAAATTCTAACCAAGGGAGTACAATTGATAAGAGTTTTTTCAAAAATACCTTTATTAGATGGTATAATTAATAAAGTTTTTTATTTAAGATATTTTATTACATAAAAGTAATCAAGAAAATAAGGTATACATTCAGAGACAATTAATTAATTTATGAGGGATGAAGGGGGTAGTAAATTTTATTTTTAATACTCTCTCTGGTAAAAAAAAAAGGTATTATTAATCAAATTTTCATCTTAGTAATTTTTTATTTTTAAATTAACAATATTTTTTTATATTTATTCATATTTAATAGAATGTCTCATTTTAAAATAAATATAAAGTAATTTATTTATTAAGAATATTTTTAAAATAAAAAAGTAATAATTATATCTTATAATTTTAAAAATATTTTTTATTTTTTAATATTTAATCTTTTAAAAAGTATAAATGAAATAGTATAATTTTTTTTTAGAAAAAAAAGTCTGGAGGATGAATTTGTAGTCAAACCCAACAAGGTACCTGCTTCACAAATTTGGCGTGCATGATTATTTACACAACCGTTTTGACTTTCTGCCTTAAAAAGCGTGAGCAATTTGATTCCCCATAAATTAGGAAGGGCGCTTGTCCAACGTCAGAAAGGATACAGTTACAAAATTACCTTCCGTCTTGGTCCAATAATACATTTTTAGTTAAAATATACTCACTTCATTTAAAAATATAAAATATTTTTAAAAAAATTAAATATTAAAAAATATAAAATATTTTTAATTTTTTAAAATTTAATTATTATTATTTTTAAAATGTCTCTATTAATGTTAACTTTATATTTATTATAAGATATTTAATAAAGATAAATAGAAAAAATAAAGTTAGTTTGAAAGTAGGTAACTATTTTATTAGGAGATGAAATTTGATTACAAATACCTTATATTTTTGAACAAAAGGAATACTAAACTTTTGAAAAATGTTGAGTAAATAACACACAAAAAATTTGAAAATTAACTCCTTTAACCTCTTATTTTTTTTAATCACAAATTTCTCTATTACTCCCTCCATCCTAAATTATAAGATACTTTTAAATAAAATCTCACATATCAAGAAAGCTCATTAAATATACTTTATTACCTTATTTTTTTAAGATAAAAATATAAATTTTTAAAAATATCTTTCATTTATATTAGTTATCTTAGTAATAGAAATTATCATGTTATATTAAAAAAGGCACGTGGCAACTCATATAGCATAATTTATCCATATTTTTATAATATTATTAACTTATATTGGATATTACATAAATTATTATGTGTCTCTTTTTAATTTGATATGACAATTTTTGTTAATAAAAAAATAATAGTATGGGAAAATGTGAAAACAAAAATCAAAGATTATGAGATTAATTTTAAATTTTTAAAAATAAGAATTTCATGTAAATGAAAAATAATTTAAGAAAATTTCATGTATTATAGCTTATATGTTTTGACCAATTTCTTCTGGTTCACATTGATATCATGATATGCATGGCGTGGAATCTTTTAAGGATGACGGCGGTCCAACAAATTTGATGACTAAAATGCACCAAAATTAATTTCTTTGGCGACTTCCTTTTCAAAATTTATTTCATAATTGTATTGTATTTTTTTCTAAAAAGGGTAAATTATTTAAAAATGTTGAAGTTTTAGAAATGAATTAATTTTTTTTATTTTATTGATAAACTGAACCCAAGAAAAAAAGGTAGAGTGGTATAAATAAAATTTCTTTGTCAACATCTAACATGTCCCGCCCATATGCCTATGTGATATTCATTATTGATGTTGTTGTTGTTGTTAATTAATTAATTAGATTCGAACAATTTTAGGAACATGTTTAGTTCTACACCAATGTATCACAAAAGAAGAATTCTACCAAGCTTCATCCTCATTGTGTCACATCACTTAATAAGAAAAACCAATAGGTGAATTAACTTACATTACATATAATTTAAAATATAAATAATAATATTATTACATTTGGCTTGATCTAGTTTTTATATTTATATAGAATTGATATCAACATTAAATGTAAAAAGCATTTTCGATATACGCATCTCAATTGACTGTTCTTTAATTACAATTTTCTCATCTCATTTCAGATATTTAAATATTACATTTGTTTTTTCTATTTAAAGCCAAAGGGTAAAAATGGCACATAATTTGCTAATTTACGCCAGTTGACGCGGGAATGTGAGAAGCAGGTGATGGCCAAGCCCGTTATTATGTGCAAACGTAAGCCTATTTATCAAAGCCTGTATGAATAAAATGGGAGCCTCTTCAGTGTCCTCGCCTAGACCTGTAGTACTATTCTAGCGAAAAATCGAGTAACAGAAAATCCAGAAGGCGACGTTAGCAATAGGCAAAGAAATCGAAGAAGGAGAAGAAGAAATGGTGGAGCTGTGAGAGAGTATAGAAATCGATATTAGAGAGGATAGGAGAAATTTGAAGAAGGAGAAGAAGAAGATGGCGAACCAGTTGGAGAATCTGGTGGAGAGCATTAAGTCCAAGGTTCGGTCGTTGAAGAAATCGAAGAAGAAGCCATACGTCAAAATGGACAAGAGCGCCAGCGTGAAGGTGGAGATCCGAAGCCGGAAGGCTCGAAAGCTCATCGATAAGACGTTGAAGGCCGCCGATCATCCGGGAAAGAGCACCATCGCCTAATCATGGCTTTTCAATTTCTGATTCATCATTTATCGTCAATCCCAATGCGCGTCCCAATTCTGTGAAGACAGGTTCTCGTTTCTATACACTATAGTTAATCAAAAGCCGTTTCTGTATTTTGAAGTGAAATTGCGCTAATATAATATTACTATAACGTCTTGTTCTTCTCCAGATTTTTTAGTTTTTTCTCCTGGTTCGAAGAAACTACAAATACAAACGTTTCTGATATGATTCACTCAATTTTAAATTTTAACTCATCCATGTGAGTGTGTGTCAAAAATAGATTATTTAAGAAAAATATATTTTCTCCAGATTCAGTGTTATGATATTTATTATTTAATATGGTATGATTAACTGAACTGTGATTCTACTCTATCTTGTTTTCTTTGGTTATTTATAATGTAGATTTTTTATTGGAATTGTCTCTTCTCTTTTAACACCCATGCTCGCATGAGTGAACTAGCATATTTGAATCTCTCTGTAGATGGATACGATTTTTATTGGAATAATATTTGTTATGAAAGTTTTATTATTTACTCTAAACTCATTCAAAGTATAAATTAACTATAAAGTAATTTAAAATAAATTTACAGGACAAAATAACATAACTTATTGCAATCTCATTAATAGGATTCAATGAAGTTATGAATAAAAATGAAGTCCCAAATTTCCAATGATCATAACTGGCTAAATTTCAATTAAGTCAAAATATAAAATAATGATGGCGGAGACCAAGAAACAGCCATGGAAGAAGGCGTGGCGCTGGGGTCGGTGCATAAAATCGGATCTGACCCGTTGACGTTTCCCATCCCCCCTCCCCCCTCCCTCTTAATTTTTTTTTCAAAAAATATAGAGATATTCTAAAAAATTTAATTAATTTAAATTATATTTTAAGTGTCAAATATAAATATATAACTTATATTTTAAATTTTAATAAAAAATAATTTTTTTTATTTAATTATATTATAATTTAAAAACAAATTAAAAATTCAGTATAATAAAATTATAAAATTAAAAGATAAAGTAAATTTTTATAATTTAACATTTAAAATTTAATTTAAATTAATTGACCATTTTAAAACTTTTTTTATCATTCTCCTCCTCTGTTTTCCCTTCACCATGGGTCCACATACAAGTGCACTTCGTTTTATTCTATGTTCTTGTTTTGGGCGTACAAATTGTGCTTTATTTAATTTTATTTTACTTGTAATTTGTAAAACGAGGAGATATCGAATCATCCTGTTGGGTTACAGTTGCTAAAGTTCTAGCCTTTTTTTTTCTTTTGAAATTCTTTAAAATTATAAAATATGTTCTCATTTTTATTTTTGAAAATAAAAAATAAAAAATCATTTTTATTTTTAAAACACTATATTTTGTTATTGTAAATTATTTTCAGTTATGATCTATCCCTATCAATATCATTAACTAGTCTTTTTTTTGAAATTCTAAAATTATTTTTAATACAAACTAAAGTTGGCTTGAGTAGTAACTTACATAAATTAAATAATAATTTAATTAAGAGAAGTTTATTCATTGTCTCGAATATCTTGGGAAAGATATTATTTGTTGTCAATGAAGCCTACTCATTATACTTAGAAAAAAAAATTATACGTTCAATTCAACTCTCAAAATAAGCAAGTTCCACCTTTTAGCTAACACGATACATTTTATTTTTCTGGGCAAGGTAACAGGATACATTTTATTATGCATTGTATATAATATTAACAAGACAAAAAAAGGCATGCTATTGCCAATTCGTGAATTCTTATCGATGTAACTTATGATAAATATTATACTCTTTCCGTTACTATTTATAAATTATTTTTAACATTTTACATTGAAACCAATTGAAACTTTAAAATTCGTTAATTCTATTTAAAATTAAATAAATTTCATACTTTACTTATATTATCCTCGCTTGGTTTAATTACGCAACTTCTTGACATCTAACTTTTCATGAAGTTACTTTTGAAAATTTATCTTCCCAGAAAATTAGTATAAAAGTTGCTTGGTTAAATTTATATTTATTAAGAAGTTGCAATTATTTTTTTAAAAGAAAAATATATTTTACTTTTGATAAAAATACTAGGGAAGTAGAACTTAAATTATATTTGGAAGTTACTTCCCTAATTCTGAGGGAAATGTGAAAGTTAAGCCTCTTAGGTCTTAGCAAACCAAGCAAGATATATTTCACTACTTTCAACTTCCCCTTCCTACTTATCTCCAACCAAACGAGGCCCAACTTTTCTATACCAATGTTAAATGAAGGTAAAATAAAAAAATTATAATATATATTACCATAATACCTTATAAAAAGACTAAAAGCTTTTCCCCCAAGTACTTTATAAATAAGATTAAAGTGCATATTTAATACTAGTGTTTGGAAATTATTATTTTTTTTGGGTCAATTTGGAAATTAGTTTTTGATTCAAATGGAAAAGGCTCCCGGATTACAAATGTGGTCAATATTTATTTTTGCAGTGAACCCAAAAAAAAAAAAAAATTCATGAAACAGCCCTGTTTCTGAGGATCCCCACCCACACGCCCTGTTTGATCCATTGAATTTGAGAAAAGGTCAAGTTGTTTGTTATTATTATTTTTTTAAATGTTCTTTAAATGAACACGCTTCACTTTTAAAGTAGCAAAACATCTACTTCAGTCTTCAGAGATCCCCAGCCCACAGCGTCTCCAATAGATGAAGCACCTGGAGCAACGATTTGCTACTGCTCTACTAAGTGCACAACATCAAATCTTATTAACAATTGATCAGAGCTAATGGTCTCATAGTTTAGTAGCATGTAAACTCTCCTATAAATGAGAGATCATAAGTACAATTCCGACTATAACCTCATGCAACTCAAGTAATATGTTATACTCCCTTTGAGAGGAAGTATGATTTAGCTCATCCTTGGTTTTAATGCCTGCTCTTCTGATTAAAAAAAAAAAAATTCAACAATTGATCACATCACAGGTTCCAGGGCCTTGGTGGATTGTTCTGAGCCAAATATACACATAGATATATATATATATAGATAGATAGACAGATATAGATATTCATCACTCAAAAGCTCAAAATAGTAAATTAGAAAGATGCAAGTGAAGAGGGAGGAGGCTTCCTAGCCATGGTGGATTGCTCAAAGTCAAAGGCAATCTGAATGAGTTTAGGTTCAGATCCCTTCAAGCCTCCAAAACATATCCCAAAGGGCATTCCAGATTGGTCATACCCTCCTGGCACTGTGATTGCTGGGTACCCTCCAATGGCTAGCATTGTAGCAGCATCAGATCCCAATGTTACCAATCCATCCAATTGATTTTCCTTCATTACCTTCTCAAACCCTTCTCTTGATAACTCCTCCATCCTCTTAACTGCCTCCACCTCTTCTTCTCCAAACCCACTTGTCATTTCTGATGCAATCAACATTTCTTGCCCGTACTCTTCTGTCTTCTCCTGAAAGTTCAAACAAAACTAGATTGATGCTGCAGGCTTATATTATATATATGTGATTGTGGAGGTAGATCTGTCATGAACTGAGTATATACCAGAGAAACCCAAGATAGTGATGCTTACCAGATCAGGGTGATCGATGTTGAATTGAATAATGTCAGCCAGTGACCTGACGGGAGAGGAAATGAGGTCCTTCAGATATTCATTGACAGCCAACTTGAATTCTGCTAACAGGGCGACGAACTCACCACTCAAGAAAGGATTCTGAATGATGCCGATATTGGCTATTTCTAAATTATCCACCACAGTCGCACCCCTTTCCCTTCAATTCCCACAATAATGTGATATCAATAACAGTAAATATCTGGGCTATGAAGCTCATAAGAGATCAATGACACGGAACTGATTGTGTATAGTTAATTACCTCATGGTGTTGAGATGATTTTCAAAGACAGAAATGGCAAGGGATCCATTATAGGGGTGGGAAAATGGATTCCTCACAACTCCTAGTCTCTTTCCTTCGAGTCCTTCCTTTCTGAGGAACTTCTTGTAACCACCCTGAGGTATATACGCTGCTGTAGAATTTGTTGCTTCATCTCTGGGATCAAGCCCCACAATCACGTCAAGCACATGAACTGCGTCTGACACTGTTCTGCATATCGGCCTATCATATACAAAATAACAATAAACAGCATCCATTTCAATTACATAACATCATTTCACTTTACCATTCAAGCTTGAATTAGCAAGAAGGAGATGATTACCCGATAGTGTCTTGACGAGGTGACACAGGGATAACGCCGGCCCTGCTAGTGAGACCGACGGTGGGTTTGATGCCAACTACAGAGTTGAGATCGGCTGGGCAGATAATTGAGCCATCGGTTTCAGTCCCCAGAGAAACTGCCACCATATTTGTGGCCACTGATATTGCCGATCCAAAACTTGACCCACATGTATTCCCGGATTCTACATAAGGATTCTGCAAAAAGAGGGTTCACCTTCGTATTTATGGTACTAAAACGTCATTAATTCTAATGAATGGTGAAGAAAAGAAGAGAGAGGAAGGAGAAGATACCAGAGCGAAGCCACCTCTGGCGCACCAGTTCGAAGGCAGACCGAGAGAGCGAGTGCCGTACCACTCTGAGAGAGAAGCTTTGCCGAGTATGACGGCGCCGGCTCGCCGGAGTTTCTCCACCTCGTGAGCATCACGTGGAACCTTGGAGCCCAGCAACGCGAAGGAGCCTGCGCTGGTGTTGAGCTTGTCGTCGGTGGCAATGCCGTCCTTGAGCAGCACCGGTATCCCACGGAGTGATCCCAGTGAGGACGCACGCAGTGGATCACTTCTCTGCCGTTCCTCCGCTTGATCTCTCGCATCAGGGTTCACCTCCAGTACGCTGCGAAGTATGGGATTGAAGCTGGTGATCCTCTGCAAGTAAAAGTCAACCAATTGTGTGGAGGTCAACTTGTTCTCGTCCAAAGCCTTGTGTAGTTCATCAATGGTGGCTTCGCTGATGCTGAAATTTGAGCCATTGATCTGTTTGACCCACCCTGTCAGAAACACTGTTTGAAGAACAAGAGAGAAAACTAGACATTGCGAAGAATGCTTGGTTCTCATGGTTTTGACTGGGATCTGAGTTTGACTATGGTTGTGTGAGTAATCTTTGCCCTTTAACTATGCCTTAAGATACAGTCGTCTTTGGATCTGGGAGAATTAGCAGTTTCACGGGGCTCTGATTTGTTTTATAAGAGTTTGAGCATGGCTATGAGTAACCCTTACCCTTAATCAATCCTTAATATAGTCTCTGGTTGGTCGTAAAATTTTAAATAAGGTTGTAAAGCAAGTAGTGGTGGTCCTTGCAGCTGATAAGTTGAGATAAAGAAAGAGGAAGATCTGCATAATATTTTTGAATCTGTGATTGATGCCTTCTATACAGTTTAATTAATCAGAAGCAGTTTCTCTGTAGCTCATAACAACGTTGACCGTGCACACAATGCAATACCTAGGCAGAATCTTGTCACAAGTTCTCTTTCCTTGAACTTCAAGCTCCTGAACTTGGTTCGTGCATCGTAGGGTCCTGACTCCTCTATGCTTGGCTTCATGTATTGGCTTTCCTTGTGTCTTTATTTTTTGGCTTTGGAGAAGAATCTCTCCACTTCCTTTTTCTCATTTTCTCTTTAATAAAATAAAATTGAAGATCATGACTAAAAAATATAGAAAAAATAAAAGAAAGGAAATGGAGAAATCCCTCTCCCTTCTTGTTTTCCTCATATACACAAAATAAAAGGTTAAAAAGTATTTTTGCTCATAAAATATTTTTCAATGAGCACCAAGTATCATAACATTTTTGTTAGACCAATTTGGCCTTTAAAACTATTAGAATGAAGCATTTTATTATTTTTATCAAAATTTCAATATTGACTATTAAAAAATTTAATGAAAATGACAAAAATGTTTTATTTTAAAAATGTTAAAAGTAAAATTGCTCCAACAAAAATGTTAAAATATTAGGTGCTCCTCGAAAAATACTTCAAAAATAAAAATACACTTTTTTACCCTAGAATAAAAGATTGCCAATTCATTAATTACTTAACTAAATCCTTATCTTTTTTTATTTGTCCAAAAATGGGGCATCATAAATCCTAACCCTCTTATTTTTACTCTTGATATAGACATCCCCGTCAAATCAAAATATTCTCTTTTTTATTTCTTTTTTATTATTATTTTTTATCTTTGTTAATGTTCTCAAACCAGAATCTTTTACGATAATCCATTTTTATATGATCAGGAATAATGTTATTGAATTCAAGATCATAAATAGGAAAGCCTTATAAATGCTTTGTTATCTTTGAGAGAAGCTGAGTATGTATTTTCAACATTAATTAAATTGCAAGAAAGCAATCAAATAAAAATGGTGCTACTAGAGGAAGGAAAGTCTACTTCCTTTCTCTTGACAAAGGCGTTTGGATATGGGAGAGGAAACTCTTATTTTCTCTTACTCCCTCTTTTCCCCTTTCTCTTTATCATCCTGAGGATATCAAAGTTTTTAACGGTTTTTGTTTAATAATAATTTATAAAATCTTTCAGCTATGTATTGATTTTCTATTCCAATTTAGAGTATTTTATACATTTATTATTATTATTTTAAATATAAATATATAGGTAAACTTAAACTGTTAAAATTTGATTTGAAAAATTTAAAATTGTAAGCTATTATTAAAATATTTTATAAAGATTTTTTTTATTTTTTTAGATAAAAACTTTACATAAAAGAAAGCTAAAGGGGTAAACTAGTAAAACTCTAATCAAAGGAGAAGAACCTCTCGTCTTCATCTCCCTTTTTTTTTTTTGAATAATGCTAGGAATCTTCATTCACAGGCATGTAAATGGGTACAAACTAAGAGGAAACTAATCTAGAGAGAAAAAATTCAAAGGACCCCTCAATAAACCAAAGATACACCTATTGAGGTGGCTCCTGATACAAAGTAGAGTCACAAAGAACGCTGTGAGCCAACTTCGCTAGATAATTAGCTTCCTTGTTATCTCGTCTCTATATACAAAATGAAAATTAATAGACCATTTCCTAAATAGCATTCTTCTAATACCTTGAACAATATCAAAGAAGAGGTGATAGCTATGGTTGTCAGGTGCGATAATTGATATAGCATGCGCACTATCACAAAAGATCTCCACAGTTCTAAATCCTTTCTTCCAACATAATTTCAGCCAATGTAAAATACCAAGAATTTCAGTAATGCCAATCAGAACATGGTCTAGCTTTTGAGTAAAGCCTAAAATCCAATTACCAGTTGTGTCTCTCAATTGTCTTTCGCACGTACTACGCCCATTAGCAAGAGCTGATCCATCCGTCTCCAATCTAATGCTATCGACTCTTGGAAAATGAAAACAATCTTCCTACCTTAGGCTATGGTGGTTGTCAAAATTAGCAAAAATTTTAGTGTCTGTAGCCACTTTGAAAAGGAAAGAATATGGGTCATCCAGAGAATCTCCTTTCCCTGTTTGAAAAACAACCTTACACCTATCCTTCAAAATGTTCCAGCAAGTATAAGCAAAGAGAATATTCCAAGAAACAACTCCAGTGAAATGATTTCTAGCATTGTGTTTTAAATTTCGTGAGGTCCATTGCCTTCTATTCAAACTAAAAAAATTATCTATAATGTCTAAACAAATAGATATGGTCCACTATTTCCTGGCATGTGGGCAATCCTGAAAAAGGTGCAAAACGTGTTCTATTGTGGAATACCCTAAAGGACACTGTCCATCACCTACTAGCCCTTGCTGTTACCGTAGCTCTGCTGTATGTACTCAATCATGTGCCATCAACTAGAAAATGGTTTTGATCTTCTCAGGGATTTTCCATCTCCAAATGTTATGCCAAATGGGATCTCTATGGTCCTCCCTACCTGTAAAGAGAACAAAATAACTAAAATTAACAGAATAATTATCATTATCAGAATAAATCCACAAGTGTTTATCCTCTCCTCTCTCTTCGCAAGGGACTCTCAAGCTGGTAATGATGTTTATGATATGATCTAGAAGCCAAAGCTTCATTTTAAGGGTATACCATCTACCCAAAGGAAGAACATAGTTTGTTACACATCTATTAATATCAATGAGCTCTATATCCTATTCAACAAACTTAATTAAAGGCTTTTATTAGGAATCCACCTCTCAAACCAAAAGGGGTATTACTTCCCGACCTTATATATTTCCCAAAACCATCTTGGAAAGACTCCCAAACTCTCACACTACTTCTCTATATAATAGATACCCTTGCTCTTTTCTTAATTTTAGGAATATCCCCATCATTACACTTGTACTTGGATTTTAAAAGCATGTACCCAAAAGGCTTTATCATTAGTTGACAAACCCTAGCACAATTTCCAAATGAAAGTTTTATTTTGAAATTTTAAATTTTTAATGCCCAAGCCACCTAAATCCTTGTGTTTTTGCAATACATCCCAAGAGATAAGATGTAATTTTTAATCCACAGTACTATCTCCCTAAAGAAAACCATAACTAATCTTCTCAAGCTCATTTAAAATTCTCATGGGAAGAAGGATGGTCTGCATAAAATAAGACAGTAGAGCTAAAAGGACAGACTTAACAAGAATAGATCTCCCTGCCATTGTGAGGTAGTAACTTTTCTGACCTGACATCCTTTTTCTAGCTTTCTCTAAAATGGGGACAAAGAGGTTGTTAGTGACCCTCTTGTGAATAAGGGTGATGCCTAAATATTTCCCCAAGTCCTCATTCAGCCTAACTCCTAACTTATGACTAAACACTTGTTTCCTTTGTGAACTCATATTTACAGAGATAAAAAGCCTAATTTTTGCCTTATTCAATTTTTTTCCATGATATCCATGATAGAAAGAGCTAGCACGAAAGTAAGACATATACTTGTCCATGATATCCATTTGTCTTTGAGTTGCTTCTCCAAATAGTACAAGGTCATCAGCAAAGAACAAATGCGAGAGTTGAGGGCCTTTTTAACAAGATATATCAATTTCCATTCACCTCCTGAGATCGCATCTTCAACAATGTGGCTTAGCTTTTCTATACACAAAGTGAATATATATGGTGATAACAAATCCCTTTGTCGTAGGCCTTTAGTAGGGACAAAGTCCAAAGTAGTTTCTCCATTCTAAAGAAGTTTAGTGACAGGAGTACTAACACAAGCCGTAATGATCTCACACAACCGATCTCCAAAACCCACTTCTTCAAGGTGCCTACAGATAAAAAGCTATTCAAGCTAATCATATGCCTTTTCGAGGTCTACTTTCATTGCAACAAAACCTTTTTCACTTGATTTCCTCTTCATGGTATTGATGACCTCTTGAGCCATAATGAAATTATCACTACCTTGTCTTCCTGCAATGAAACTACTCTAGTGGCCACCAATAATGTTGTTCATAATCCCTTTAATTATATTGGCAATAATTTTAGATGCAATCTTGTAACTAACATTATAGAGGAATATAGGCTGAAAATCCTTCTTACACTTTAAGTGATCAATTTAAGGTATGAGGACAATGTGCGTGCCATTGATCTCCTTGACTCTCTTGGGGTTTTGAAAAATCTTTCTCACCAAATCATAGATCAAGGCTCTTAAATATTCCTAATATTGTTAACAAAAAAATAGCTTGGATACCATCCAGGCCTGGAGCCTTGAAAGCTCCTAAATCAAAAGTGGCTTTGCTTAATTTCATCATCTGAAAGTTCTCATACCAACTTTGCCCTCTTCAATTCATTAAGTGAAGGATAAATTTTATGAGATACAACTAGTGGCTAGTAGGAAGGTTCAAACTTGAAGAGCTTCTTATAATAATCCAAAGCCATACTTTTCAACTTCTCATTATCAAAAACTCAGTTACCTAAATCATCTCTTAGGGCATTTACTTTGTTTTTCCTCCCGTGGATTTTCGTAGTAGCATGGAAAATCTAATATTTTTGTCCCTCAGTTAAGCCATTTATATCTAGATTTTTAGTACTAAAGTAGGTCTTCTTGAGGTAGAACTATATTATAATCTTTCTAAAGGTCAGCTTCTACTTGTTTAAGGTATTGTGAGTCCTTCCTTCTTCTCGCAGCATCAACACCCTCAAGTCTCCTCAATAATTTGTTCTTTTTCCTTAGAATGTTTCCAACTCTAGATTTATTCCAATTAGTCGTAGCTACCACAAATTTTTTAACTTTATCACTCCAAATACCAATGCTCCAGCTATGATTGACAACATCCATAAAGCCCTCCTCCAGGAACCATGTAGCTTAATATCTAAAGATAAGCTTGCCCTTTCGCCTTTACTGAATAGTAGAATCCTTAATGTATAAGGGTTGATGATTCA